GTATATATATGCCATCACTATACTTTCTTAATTACTGTAGCTTTATAATAAATCTTGATATCTGGTAATGTAAGCCATCCAATTTTGTGAGTTATCTTCAAGAATATCTTTGCTATTCTTGAGCCCTTGCATTTTCATATAAGTTTTATGATCATCTTGTCAATTTTAACCCACAAAAACATGCTGTGGATTTTATTGGAATTGCCTTGTATCTAAGATCGATGTGAGGAAAATTGGCATCTTTCCATAATGCATCTTCCAATCCATGATCATGGTATATCTCTCCATTCATTTAGATTTTTTCAAATATTTTTCCAAATGTGTTGTAGTTTTCTAGGTAGAGCTATTGAAAATAAGTTGTTATATTTCTCTGTAGGTATGTGTTGTATTTTGATACTATTATAAATTATATATATATATATGATTTTCTATTTGTTTAGATGATTTATATGCCCAAAGATCAAGACTTCCTCTAGATCTAGAGTAATTAAAATGCCTTTGAAATTAGCAATTAACACAAGTTTGAAAGTTAGACTAGTGGAACAAAATAAAGTGTCTAGAAATAGACCCTCACATATTTGGTCAATTGATTTATGACAAAGACAATGCAATTCAGTGTGAAAAGAATGGTTTTTCAATGGTCCTGGGTCAATTAGGCACGCATATGGAAAAAATACGTAAACCTTGGCCCCTGCCTGAAACCATATTATTCAAGATGGATCATAGACTTGAATATGAGAGCTAAAGAAAAACCTTGTCCTATGATATCTTCACAACCTTGGGTTAGACACAGACTTCTAAAGCAAGCCACAAAAATCACTAATTATTTATTTTATGCAATTACTGATAATATTTGGGTTTATATTTACCATTTCAGTATTTGTTCTATTTGTCTCAACTGCAGTATGTTCCTTTTTCTCTCTTTCTTGCCTTATTTTGGATTAATGAGGCATTTTTAATATTCTTCCAATTCCCCTGCCAATAGCTTGATAGTTAAATATTCTCTTACTATTCTTTTAATTGTTACTCTAGATATGAAAGCACACATTCTGGACATGTTGGTGTCTAATATAAATTAGTACTTTTACCTCTTCACAGACATTTCATGGAACTTAAACTACTTTAACTCCATTTAATTCCTTCCACATATTGTATTATTGTCATGTACGTATTTTAATTCTACATATATTTTATTGTCACACATATTTTATTGTCATACATATATTCTGTTGTCATTTATTTTAATTCTACATATATTTTAAATCCCACTGCTGATTATCATTATTGGTCTGCAAAGTCATTATTAATTTCAGTTTATCCATATATATATACCCTCTTCCTTGCTCTTCATTCTTCCCATGATTTTGTGCTTTTGTCTGATGTAATTTTCTTCATGCCTGAAGAATTATCTTTAGTATTTCTTTCTATAGAAATCAGCTTATATGACTCATCTCAGTTTTGGTTTGTCTGAAAAATGTCTTTAATTTTACCTTCATGTTTGTTTTTTTCCCCAGCACTTCAAAGACAGCATTCCATTTGTTCTGGGCTGCTTTTAAAATTTTCTCTTTGCTTTTAGATGTAAGTAGTTTGAATATGATACCTAAGTGTGGGGTTTTTTTGTATATATGTTGCTTGGAGTTTGCTGATTCGCTTGAATCTATGTGTTGATATGCTGATATCTTTTATCAGTTCAGAAAATTCTCAGGCATTATCTCTTCAAAAATGATTCTGGGGTCCAGTCTGGTGGTGTAGTGGTTAAGTGCGCACCCTCTGCTTCGGCAGCCCAGGGCTCACAGGCTTGGACCCTGGCGCGCATCGACACACCACTCATCAAGCCATGCTATGGCAGCGTCCCATATAAAGTAGAGGAAGATGGGCATGGATGTTAGCCCAGGGCCAATCTTCCTTAGCGAAAAAAAAAAAAAAAAAGATTCTGGCTCCTTATCTCCATCCTCCCTTTCTGGGACTCTCATTACATCTGTGTTCACCCCTTTCACCATTTTCTATTTGTCTCTTATTCTTTTCTCTATTTTCCATCCTTTTGCTCTTATGCTCCAAATGTTATGTTTCCTACTGTCCTTTCTTCCAGTTAACTGATCCACTGGGATCATCTTCATCTGGATTCAATCTGCTGCAAACCTATTAAAATTCTTAATATCAGTTATTGTATTTTTATTTCTACAACTTCCATTTGATTACTGCTGTCAACTGATTACTGCTGCAGGGTTAAATTTTCTATCATCTTCCCCCATATTCATCAACATATTAATCATATCTCAAACAACTGTTCTTCCAATGATCAATCAAGTGTATCTCAGACAATGTTGCTGTTTTCTTCCTGTTGGTCCTGTTTCTTGATATATCTGTAATTTTTAAAAATTAAATGCCCAACATTTTATATGAAAAAATAGGTAAGGGCTCTGATTTATGTTATTTTCCTCTAAAGAGGATTTGTTTTACCCCCTCTAAAGTGGGGGTAAGTCACCCTAAACCACTCAGAGACTGAAATAATTTCAGGTTGGATTTCAGCATTGAGAAAGCATGGTCTAATTCTGGTTTATCTTTCTTCCTAGGCTAAAGCTTTCCAGGAGTCTCAAGAACCTTGTCTTATATTGTTCACCAGGGGTCTCCTCCTTCATGTCCCTGAACTCTAATTTTTATTTCCCAAAAATGTAATACTTCTAAAACTATGGTGGATTTCCCATCCTTTTAGTGACTTACTTTCTATTCTGCCTGTATCTCTTAGGTATGGTCAAATAACTCAAGGAGAAAAAGGGCACAGAATACTGTGCTCCTTCTCTATGCTTCTCTTCTCTCTAGAATTGACCTCCTCAGTCCCAGTGGCCATGGTAGTCCTCATGTCCAGCTTTTATCTTCCAGCCTTGTGAGTCCACCAAGAGCTGTTCGGCTAACACTTCTTCCGTCTCGCCTTCTACTGGGAACCTGAAATCTGACCTCTTATACAGTGTGATGTATAAATTGGCAAAGTTCTTGAGGGGGAATATAGCATAAAATATTGGACTCACCACCATGAATTTCCCATCTCTCAAGAAAAGAATTTTGGCTTCTCAAATCCTCTTGATAGTTCTCTCATGCTCGTCCTCCTTCTCTCTCTCTCTCACTCTTGCTCTAAATACATACATATATATTTGGTTTGCTGCAAGCTAATCTGTCACAGCCTCAGGCAGAAGTCCCCAAAGATTTTATTTCTGTGAAATGCGAGCAACTCCAATTGGCCTAAATTGGCCTGTATCTTTCTTATTCTAACTGAAGAATTTTGGGGAACCTTAGTATTTAGAAGATTGGGTATGGCTGAAAGGCACTTATTAAGGAGATAATAGAAAGGAGTATTAGAACAGTGGTTCTCTAAGTGGTCCTTGGACCAAAAGCATCAGCATCATCTGAGTCAGAGTTTCAAACTCATTATTTCACAGTTGTTTTTTCTACAGGAATTAAAATACTCATAATTTTGATCAAACATGACAAAGCAATCCTAATTGTTTCATCTTTTGCACTTCAAGTCACACTCCAGAGCCTCTCAGACAACTCTATCGCCCTTGACTTTGCCCTTGTTTTTTTTTTTTCTTTCTTGAAGTATAATGCATAACCTATGACCTTGTTAGCAGTGCATATTTTTGGGACCCAGCCCAACCTACTGAATCAGAATCTTTGGAGATGGGGCCCAGAAAACTGTCATTTATTTATTAATTTATTTTTATTGAGGTCTTGTTTGCCTATAACATTGTGTAAATTTAAGGTCTACATTATTATATTTCAGTTTCTGTATAGACTGAATCATGTTCACCACCAATAGCCTAGTTTTTATTCAGCACCATACATGTGTGTCCCTTCATCCCTGTTTTAATATGGTCACCAGGTGATTCTTACATATGTCAAATGCTGAAAGCCACTGGGCTATTAGAAGAGGAAGCTGGAAGTCAATGTTGTATATCTTAATCTTGGTGTCATTATTAGCTTTTTGAATCCCTTTGTATGCACAGCTCAGTGCTGGCCGTATTTTAGGCACTCAGAAAATATGGTTGAAGGTAGGACTGTCTGGTTTAACAACTGAAATCATTTAATAAAAGTGTTTATTCTTTGTGAGACCAATTTCCTCATTTACAAGATGACAAAAATGCCTGTGTACATTCTAAAATACATAGTATAAATTTCATCTTATCCACCATCTAAATATTCATAAATTTCAGACAACCATAATTTGGCAAATAATAATTGATGTTAAAAACGATATCCCTGAGGTGCTACAAAAATACAAACTCTCAATTGCCAAAGAAAGTATACTCAATTATGTTTAGATTGGCCTTAGTGCCATATGTATGACCAGCATGTTGCCTTTGGAAAAGAAATGCTAACACGTTTGGTTGAGAAAGGAAGACAGCATTATAGTGATGTGCTTCATAATGATGTTTCGATCAATGACAGACCACATACATGACGGTGGTCCCATAAGATTAGTCCCACATAGCCTAGGGTTGTAGTAGGCTATACCATCTAGGTTTGTGCAAGTACACTCTATGATGTTTGCACAATGATGAAATCACCTCATGATGCATTTCTCAGAACGTAATCTGTCATCAAGTGATGAGTGATTGTATATCTTTTAGGTTAGTTGAGTGTGTGTGTGTTAAATTATTCTAGGAATACTACTAATGCACTCTGAGAAAACTTTTTGCTAGAAAAGAGCCAATAAGGCAAAGTTAAATCCAAACAGAACCCCCAAAATGTGTGCTATTACATAGGAGTGAAGAACAACTTGCAGTGAAAGGAAAATAATTGAAGAAATGTGACTGAGAAGATGACATAACAATAGCCACAAAAAAACCCAAGAAACTAAAAGTAGAATAAAATAAAAATTTTAAACAACATTTAAAATTTAAAAAAATGTAAACGAAAACAAAAAGATATGTAAACAAAACTATGACTTCTTTGGGAAAATCACTGGCCCTAGATCATAGAAGTGAGACAGGAGCCAGTCCTACCTCTTCCAATTGTACCATGAGAGTAACATTGTGCCCTTGTTCCGCTGTCAACTTTCCATCAGCGGTGACGATCCGGAGTCCTCGCGGGGCCTTCCCTGGACACTTCTGCGGTTTGGCAGTGTACTGTTCTCTCACTCCATCAGTACAGTTATTGGAAACCACCTTCCTATACCTAAATGGAGAAAAGCTCAAGTTGTAATCCAGCTCATTATAATTCAGATCACTCCCACCTTTTTAAGCTGGATCTACTGCCTAGCCATGAGGGCTATCAATAACTACATTTCATGTTGCTCTGAGGATTAGAGCTAATTCATATAAAACACCCAAAAGAGAGACAAATCATCATAGTACACATTGTACCTATTATTAGCACTTTAATATACTTCTTTTATTCATTTAGTCAACTGCTGAATCATTTTACTTTGGAGCTATGGGAAATGCACAGCAGTAGAAGACATGGTCCTTGCCCTCACCGAGTTTATAATTTAGTTGAAGAGACATATGTGGATAATCAAGGAGATACTTCTAGGGTTAGAATGAGTAATATCTATTGCAAGGAAATTTGCAATTCAGAGAAAGAATAGATTATTATGAATTATATGATTTAACATTAGATCTCACAGATGATCCTGTAGTAACAGTATAGTGCTGAAAGTTAGCTAAGCTTGGTAAAAGTCAGGCTAAACTATCTATACTTTACATTAAGAAGATTTTTATCTGCAGATGGAGTAAATCCTTCCTATTCTGTTGCTTATTTCTTCTTGTTTTAGCTTTAACAAAAAAAAAAATTATCCTACAAATTTATCCTACACAGTTTATCAGATTCATAGTAAATTAAAATCTGTGGAAAAAGATGACTAATCTTTAAGACTTTTGAAGTTCAGTATTATTTCTTCATTATCTTTTTCTCTGGGGCCCACAATAACCACTTTATGTATTCATATATTTAATTTCCCCAGCCTACTTGCCTGGGGTTACTGGTAGAGCTCAAACTGGAACCAATCAAAGCCCAAGGCCTTTCCACCAGGAGTTGACAAACTTTTTATACAAAGGGCCAGACAGTATATGTTTTAGCTTTGTGGGCTCTATGGTTTTTGTCATAAGTATTCAGCTCTTTGGTTGTAGCATGAAAGTAGACATAGACAATGCATAGAAGAATGGGTGCAGCTAGGTTACAATAAAACTTTATTTACAAAACTATCAGTGTGACAGATTTGTTCTTCAGGCTATAGTTTTCCAATCCCTTCAAATCTAGACAATGTCCTTTCCTCTGTTCCTGAGTCTCAAGATTGGCTACCTAAAAGCATGGTTGAGAAAGTCCAATTAAACACTGTGTGGGAAAGTGCTTTGAACGCGGTGGATCACAACAAGGTCATTATTAATATTTAACTCATCTCATAGGGTAGTTGTAAAGATTAAATGGATTAATGTACACAGAGTACTTAAAACCACCCTGACAATTAGTAAGTGCTTATGAAATGTTACCAATTATTTTTATTTAATATTGTTATTATTTCTCCTACCTTTTCACAACCTCCATGGCTTTCAAATGTCCTTTGGATAAGTCGCAAATCCTGTAATCTTGTGCACGGAGCCCTCCACAAGCTAAGTTCATTCTACTTTTCTGGACTCTTTCTCTCCAACAAACTCACTCTGCCCTAGCCAAATCTCCATTTTCAATCCTCTTAAAAGTATTTTCTTTTGCTCCTTCTGCTTTTATGTCCTCCCGCATGCTGCAGCAGCTGCCTAAAACTTACTCATGCTTTAGTTACAGCCTATCTACTGTTTTTCCCTGACTATGATAGTAAAATAGTAAGATAGCAAAACAGTAAGTGCATATTTAGAGAATACTTACCATGGTCTAGTTATTGTGCTAAGTTCCTCATATGACATTTCTCATTTACCTTCAAAATATCACTAATAAGAAAGGTATTACTATTCCCAATATACAGATGAAGAAATTAAGAGTCATAGAATTTAACCAATTTTCTCAAGATCACACAGCCAGGACCCTAGACAATTTGTCTCTAGAATACATCCACTCTTCCCCCCTACACTGTACTGCCTCTTTAAACGGAGTAAGATCATCCCTCCTCTAAACTCCTAAAGAAATCTTGATGGTTTACTTGAAAGGAATCATTTATGCCCTGTTTGATTGTCTTCCTGTGTGTGACTGTGAACTTTAAGCTCCTTGAGGGTGTCCTTGTGTCCTGGACATGCAAGGCTGATAATAAGGAGGTCCACACTGGGATGACTGTACCATTTTAAATGTTGAAATATCTCCCTAGCAGTTGGTTGCTACCATTGCCCCAAACCCTTCAAATACCTCACCTACCAACCCAGCTATGCTGATCCCTATTCTTGGAGTCCCTGCTTCTCCTTATAATCCAGCAACTAAAGGGTTAACATCTAGCACTTCAGGCAGCCTCCCAAATGCTGCTCCAGCACTAAGATCTCTACCTATTCTGATTGGTCATTGCCCTGTCTGAGCATTTTTAAGATCACCCCATCCGATATTTTAAGAAATCTATTGTAGGTGCTTATGAGTGTATGCTGATTAAAAGTGAAAATAATGGCAGGTAGAAGAGAGAAGAAAAAAAAAAGGTGCAGACACTGGAGAACGGTGGCACTCTGGTACTGGCAATGGTAGCAAGGATATGACCAGCAATGTCACGCAGTAATTATGGCATCCCAGTGAGTTTAATTGTGCATCAGAAACTCCCCGCGTGTTTCAGAGGCAATGCGCTATACAAACTAAACGCAGGTTATGATTTTTAATCACTTAGCATCCAAACACACCTGTGACTCTGTCTTGGCGAGCAGCTATAGAGGCATGGGCTCACCATCACCATTGGCATCATCAGCTAGAGAACATTCCTCTTGTTTGTCACTATTCTGGCCAATCATATGCCAGGCTTTCCTGAATCCTGCAGCAACAGAAGTTCTGCTTAAATCCAAGCACGAATCCATCCCCCTGGGATTCTGCCACAGAGAAGACTGTTGGAAATTTTTTTAAATGCTCATTAAAAAACTTTCTGAAACCATTTTATTTCCTGGACGAAAATGGCATCACATTAGCCCTACCAGACCTGTCCCTGAAATTGAGAAGAAAATTGTGCAGAAATACAGAGTTCATTTACTCAAGTAAGCACACACCTGCTTTTTGCATTACGGAATGGTTCTATTTTTATTCCAGCAGCTGTCCCTGGGCCTGAGTTACATAAATGAATAATGCATTTAATATGTTATTAAATGGGGCTGCTACCTCTGTAATAAGAAGGCAACTTATGATTATGTTGGACCTAAGTTCTGAATATTAGTGGGATGCATTTAGTTGGTAAAGCATTCTTCAATCCGCCAAGAAGAAAAGTGCTTTGTTACGGCAAGGGAGTCTTTGTACAATTACTGAAAAGGAAACATTCTGCAAATGTGCCTTGGATACTACGACTGTTCATCAGCAGGTGGTGTCTTCTTACTACAACAACCCCAACTCCAGCTATTCTCTTCCTCCCTATCTTGAACTCCTCTGTCACCTTTTCCTTTTCACCCCTGCCTTCTTTCATTTTGCTTCTGTGCCGCCTGCCAGTCTTAAAAAAGATGAAGGCCATTGTTTTTCTTTGCGAGAATAAAACTGGAAAAAAACACGCAAGTCTTCATATTCTGCGATTTTACTATTTGGTATTTTTTTCCTTGTGATTTTGGGGTGGTGGGGGTGGAATACAGATGTTTATGACTATTCAGTGTATGTTAAGGTAACGTATAGTCTAGCTCAGTAGGTTGCAACCCTGTCTGCCCTTTAGAATCACTTGGCAACACTTTTAAAATATATGGATGCCAAGACCTAGCCCCCAGGAAGTATGATTTAATTGAGCATTCTGGGCATAAGTGTGTTTTTGTTTTTGTTTTAAGTTCCCCTGGTGATTCTAGTGTGCAGCCAAGATTAAAAGACCACTGCCCTGGTGGTTAACACTAGTGTTAACCAAATTGCCTGAGTTTATATTCAGGCTCTTACTATATGAACTTGGGCAATTTACCCAGCCTCTCTCTAATGACTGGTTTCTCTGCCTGTAAAATAGGGATAAATACAGAATCTTTTCACAAAGTTCTTGGGAGGATTAAATGAGATAATGCATTCAGAAGGGCTTAGCATATAATCTGGAACATTGCAAGAACTTAATAAATATTAAAATATCAAAATGTAGCAAAAAGTTAGTATTTGAAGTGTTAAATATTAACTTGCTATTACACATCAAGTTCCCTGAAAATACAAGCTGCACTCTTAGTGCCAAGATTATCTTAAAATCAGATTGGACCATGTCAATTCCTTCCTTAAAATCATTCAAATCTTCCTATGGCTTATTCTAAAGGGTAAAGTTCAGGTTTAAAGTAGAGGTCCACGATCTGTCCCTATCTCACTTTTTAACCTTCCATTCTTTCCACGGCCTGACATGTTTCCTGAGCTCAGGCCACGCTGAAGTCTATGTGCCTTTGTTTGCCTGTGCTGTTTATGCTGCCTGGGACGCTCTTTCCTCCTGTCAAGCTGCTACTCATTCTTTAAAAATAAGCTTAGAAATCACATTTTTCTGTGAAGTTGTCTCCTTCCTTTTTGCAAAGTAATCACATATAATGACCAAGGTAGAGCGGGAGCTCCAGCTCTTCATGTCGCCAAGGCAAGTCTATTGTTACTGAGCTATGGTGTCTCTCACTTGTGTTCACAATAAGAAGAATTTAAGTAGTTTCGTTTCTTGGATGGTAGTATGTACTTTTGCTTTCAGGAGAAAACTGCCTTGTTACAATGATACTTGAATTAATGAAACAAGAAATGGAGCAAGCCTTGGTGACAGAGAAGGGACTAGTTCTGGGTACAGTGTATGGCTAAGACTTAAAATCTTCCTAGACCCAATGTGCCCGTATTTCAACAGTAATCCTGTGGAGTAGCCACGACGTCAACCTTCAGAAAGAATGGGGTTCCATGGCTGACTAAGCAGGTTCTCCAAGTTTCTCTACTCAAGGCAATAGCTCTCAGGACTTTTCCCTTAAACTGAGTAAGCAGACCCTGGGAACCATCATGAGACAGAAGACCAGGTGGAGGGAAGAAAACTTCTCTTGCATTAAAGCAGGATGGAAGCACAAGTCATTTAGCTTAAACAGTAAATGGAATGTGACTTCATT